CCGGCGGTGCCGCTCTGTGTGGATGCTGGGCAGCGGCAAGGCAGCCGACTGCCGGCGCCCCCCCCCTGCAAGGGAGCGAGAGCGCACGCTGTGGACCGAACAAACCCAAGCGCTGACTGTGTGCGCTGGGCGTAGCGGCAGGGATTTGCTGGCAAGCAAAGTTGTAGGCGGCAAGCATGTTGCAACTCACACAAGGCGCAGGACGGCACTCTCTCACAGTGCCAAGTGCCCACGAACGGCAATTCGTTGTGGCGGGGTAAGGCGCGCACACTTCCTGTGAAAACCACTCACGGCGCGCCGTAAGCGTCGCCACGCTTTTGGCCGTCAGCAGCCACGGCAGCTGCCGGGCAGCGGCGCGCCATCACAGCAGTACACAGCCAGCAACTGCCGCCGCTGTCGACTGCGAGCAACAGCTGCGTGCTGTTCAGCAAGTTGGATCCTGTCTTTCACGCACCTCGGGTCGCTCGTGACAATGCGTGCTGGAATCCACAAACCAGAATTCTTGGTGCCCGGCTGTCTGCTGTGATGCCAATCCTCTCAAGTAGGCATAATCCCCACTCACCAGCCATGCAAGTGAATTCCCTGGATCGCTGGAGATCCAAATTTCACAGCAGGCGGAAGATGCCATAGTTGATCTCATGGATGGGTGGATTGGATTCAGTGCGTGGCTGCGGCTCGCGTTGCGCCCTGGAGCACAGGGGCAGCCAATGTTGCTAGCCTGGGCAGTGGACGCTTTTCAAAGCCCTCACAAGCAGCACGAAGAAAAGCGGAATGCGACCCCTGACCTATTCAACACCGATTTCACCCTCAAGTGCTCATGGCATGCGACGGTCTGACCGAGCAGACCCGCGGCCCGAGTGTCATCTACCACCACCACACATTGTGAACGCATGCCAGCACACGGCACAAGCTAGCAGCATGAAAAATGCTGAGGTGCAGCGCCTGGCAGGGGGTCCTAGGCTGGGCCGGATGCGCTGCCTTGTGAGGTGGGCCGGCTGCCCAGCAGCTGCGGCGAACGGGTGGGTTGCATCCATCCGGCCACCCATGCACGATCAGCGGTGCTGCGCCTCCAGGGACATGGCCAGGCTCCCTGATCAGCGCGTTGTGCTTCGAAAAGCTTGGTATGATGTTGAACTATCTGTTGTGCAAGCAACGCCCCTGCACAGGGTCACCGCGGTCCGGTCGCGTCACCCGGTCACGCCCCAGCTGCAACGCGGCCGGGTGCTTCCCAGCGGGGGTGAAGGGCGCTGCTGGGCAGACGAGGTCTTTAAGAAGGTGCCACCGCATTTCTATTTCCCACATACTCATATACTTTAGCATCCTAACTCCTGCTTCATCACAACGGGAACAACGCAACTCGCTCTCTGAGCAATCGCACCGTCCACCTCGCCAAACCATCGGGGCAATACCATAATCAGATCAAGCCCACGCACGCCATGGCTCTTCGTAGCTGGATGCTTGTGTCGGGTGAGCATGGCGTGGCTTTGCATCTGGGTGCTGACAGCGTGGTCTGTGAGTAGCAGTTGCCAGGGCCCGGGCAAATCTCAGACCGCGGCGTGCGTGCCCAAATGCAGCGGCCAGGCTTGCCCAGTCCCAGTGTATACTATACAGTTGTGCTGTTCATCAGTCAGCCTGCGTACTGTACAACTCTTCAGTTCCTGGTGCAGCTGTGTCTTTGGCTCCTCAATTGACTATGTGCTTCACCACCTTTAACGCCTTTTGCAACCCTTCCCCCAATCAACAGCCCTGGCCCTGCTCCTCGCCCCCGGGGCCCTCGGCGTGTCCCTCAAGGCCGGCGGCCTGACCACCTCTGACCGCCGCGCCCTGGGCGAGCAGGCCGCCAACGCGCCGCCCGTCCTGCGGATGGGCGACATGACCCTGGTCGGCGGCCGCGTCCCCACCATCAATGTGGGCGGCCAATCAAGCGTGTACGGCAACCTCAACAGCCGCCACAGCGGCGGCATCACCCTCAGCGGTGGCGCGCTGGGCCCCTTCCAGAACGAGGGCGGCAACGTGTACATCGACCAGTGGCACCGCCGCCGCATGGGCGAGCAGGCCGCCGCCGCCGCTGATGCCAACATCATCGCCACCGGCGGCCGCACGGCTGGCTTTGCCCCCTCCGACCGCGCCCCCATCACCAACTTTGGCGGCACGACCACCTTCACCAGCGCCGGCGTGGGCTTCAACGGCGGCCTGACCACCAGCTTTGACAACTTCGGCAACCCCGTCGCCAACGAGGGCGGCAGTGGCAACATCTTCCGCCGCCTGGGCGAGCAGGCCGCTGCCGCTGCTGACGCCAACATTCTGGCTGTTGGCGGCCGCACGGCCGGCTTTGCCGCTGACAGGACCCCTGTCACCAACAACAATGGCATGATTTACTTTGGCAACCAGGGCATCAAGTTCAGGGGCGGCACGACCACCGCGTTTGACAACTTTGGCAACCCCGTCGTCAATCAGGGCGGCTACGGCAAGATCACGGGCCGCCGCCTGTGATTCTCCTGGCCACCTACCGGCAGCCAAACATTTGGCTTTTGCCGCACACGCTCGGGTTGGCCACGTCACTGACTTGGTGGCGTGAGCCGTTACCTTTCCAAATTCGGGCGTGGTCTTCCGCAGCGGCCTCATGATGATGCGCCGTTTGTCGAGTTTGGCGACTCTGCCTCCACGCCGCGGCGAAAACATGCAAAGGCGCCTCAAGAATATACTGGCGGTTGCAGCGGGCTCATCAGGCGCCGCCAGCTCCTCCGCAACTCCCCTTGCGCCGAGTGTTGAACCAGCCCGTTGATGGGCCCGTCAGGCTCTGTTTTCATCCTCACATGACAGCCCCTGCTGCCCAGATGCGCGGGCTATGTCAATTTTTGCATGCACAGGGTTTTCTCAATTGGTCAGTTGTGCGTGGCACACACGCTGCCTGCTGCGCTCGCCAGTGCTCCTCTCAATAGCAGGAACTGCCCCACAAATATTGTGACTGCCAAGAAAGTAGCAAAACTATTAACTGTTTGCTGGGAGCAATGACCCCTGCACGCTGGCTGGTGTCACTTCTGCACCAAGCTGCATTCGTTGCCCTACACTGCACCCATACCTCAGGATGTTGTGTAAAAGCTGCAATCCTTTCCTACAAAGAATTTGCAGGAATGGATTGGCAGTTGCAGCTGAAGTGGGATTTATCAAACGCACAATCAAGGTGCACTATTCAGGGTGCTTCAAAACGGGTGCAAACGTTAGTTTGGGGGTTCCAATAGCAAGAGAATTGCGGCAAGGTCCACATTTAAAAACGAGTCAAGGCAAGCTGCACAATGCCGCAACGGGAGGTCAAACTTCACACCAGCAGGTGCCTATCCGTCCACATCATGCGGCACAGGTGACGTGCACGTGCATGCATGTGCAGCAGGCCCCAGCAACAGTTGCGAAACATGTGCAGATGACTGCAATTATGTGCCCTCGCGCTGATTTAACAGCATGATAGGATGCCTCGCTTTTGAGCCAACCCTCACGCACATGCAAGCTGCCCGTGCGATCATACGCAACAAAGGAGTCTATGCAGGGTGGTCAAATCCGGTCAAGTTGAATGATTGTGAGCACAGGACGCACAGCCGATTGGGGTCCTTACTAAAAGTAATAGGCCTGTGGGATTTATAAAACACGTTACTGGGCTCATGACTTTAATTAACAGCGCTCAGGTTCATGGCCTAGGTCCACGCCTTGACTGCTCCATTTCACAGTATGCCAAGCAGGCAGGCAAATTGCAGCCAGTACAACCAACAAGCTACATACTGAGGCACCCATCAATGAGGAGCCAGTTGGAAGCTGCGGGAGGTGGGTGTGCGACTGTCCCTACTGTCTTTTATATGGCACATTTGCATCACATGGTGCAAGTCTGACTGGTAAAAGTCTCACGAGGCGCAAAACAACCCTGAACAAGAGTGTTGCACGCAGCTTAAACATCGCTTCTTGATTGCAGCTGGACAGCTGGGCGAGGCAGCAGGCAACCTTCTTGCCACCAGAAAGTTCAACCATTTTCATGTTCGAATCTGTCTTTCAGAAGGCACCGGGTGGTTTGCAGGTGCAGGAGCCAAGCCAGCGACTGGCCCATCCATCCAGTTGTGCCAACGCATTTGTATGCAATTACAAGCTTGATGCTCTTACTTGCCGATCACCTTGTCTTGCGTGCACAAACCCTATGGATGCCTGGCACTTCACCTCTCTTCCCCGTTTGCAGTACTATTGCAAACAAGCTTACTAAGTAAGTTCTGCTGTCTCGCGCTTGAGCTGGGTGGTGGATGCAGGTGCCGCCAGTAAAAGCCGTGCTGAGCTCGGCTTTGCTGGTACGCTGCATTGGGGTTGCACCAGCCAGCCCAGCATGGAAAACCGATTGTGTGCAAGAGGCAGAGGGTTACTATTTATTCAGCGACTTACTGTTCACGCAAATTCCTGTACATTCGGCGCCTGGCTGCACCCATTTAATTTGAGGCTCTGCTGCCCGCCCTCCCGCAGGAACGCAACAATAAATGGAATGGGGCCTGCGGCACACACAGGCCGCAACAATGGGACGCAACGACACAGGCGATGGCGCATGCATTACCCCAAGGTCAGCAGATATCCCTGTTTACAACAATAGAGTTGGTGCATCCATCCGGCAACTGTCCTTGCTGGCGTAAAGAAAGTCAATCCTTTTCTGGGGTTTGCGAAAAATCGTGGCTTAGTTTCAAATAAATCTGTCTTGAAATCAAGGTCTTGATGGTAATGGTAAATTCGACCTGGAAACATTGCAGCTCACTTAAGCAAGAGCCTGCGAAACCGTCTCGCAATCAGTGACAGCCATGCTCGTTCGGTCACTGCTGCCCGCGCATTCTCCTGGGACTCTCAGCCGAGCTGCTTGCGCGCGCGAGCCGGGCCGAGCCTGGCGCTGTCATTCCTATCAACCCATGACGCGCGACTGCCACGCCATGCTTTCGCCGGCCGCCCGCATGAGGTCTTGGTGCATCGCCATGGACTGGCCAAACGTCATGCCCTGCGCGCCCGCGGGCGGCGCGCTGAACGCGGCGACGCTGGGGGGGATGGCGGCCCCCTTGCCGGCCGGCGCCCACACGGCCGGGGCCGTCCAGGGCGCCCAACTGTACCAGAAGTCGTTCTTCGGCCAAGCGGACACCACGGGCCATGCAGGGGCGCTCGCCCAGGCGGCCGTGTATGGCCAGGCGCCGGCGGCGGCGGCGGGCCACGCTGGGGCGGGCGCGCCGCCGCCGCCGCCCATGACCTGGTTGTGCCACGACATGCTCTGCGCGTGCTTTGCCATGGCGTCGTTGTAGGCGGACTCGGCGCCCGCGGCGCCGCCCTTGATGGGCGTGGCGGAGACCATGGTGGGGTTGGCGCCGCCGATGTAGGTGGTGCCACCCGAGGCGGTGATGGTGGCGGCCGCGCTGTCTGCGCCCAGCAGCGCGCGGCGGTGGGCCAATTCGGGGCCCTGGGTCAGGCCGCCGGCCTTGAGGGACGCGCCAAGCGCGCCGGGCGCGAGGAGCAGGGGCAGGGCTGCGCGGGGATTGCGTTTTGAGGGTGGGCAGAGGATGTAAGTTAGCAGGCCCGCAACAGATGCGGATGCGAGTATGTGCGTGCACGGAGATGTGCATGATAAACCAGAAATCCTGCTGGCTGCGGAGTTGCTTTGGGTCACTTGCGCTGCGGCGTTGGTCTCGGTCTGGTTCAGGCCCGTGCTCAGCTGTGGGGCAGCGACCCCACCCATTGCCCGTACTGCTCACCTAGGAGCGCCGACCAACAGTAGCCGCGAGTCATTTTGGTATTTCTTATATTATCATCAAGCCCTAGGCGCTACCTGATTTGCAGCGTTGGCCGGGCGGGTGGTCTAAACAGTTAAGCGAATCTCCTTGCTGCTTTTATTTTCGCGGCGGCCCAACGTGCGTTCACGATTGCAGGTTATTGTAAGCGACAAGCAGAACATCGACATTTATGCGATCAGACGTGGCTGCCGACTAGCGGCGCGCCGCTGTGGGGCAGCTGGCGTCACCCTGGTGACTTCCAGGCGGCACACGTGGAACGCAGGGTTGAACGCATGGTCCCGGGTGTTGCAGGGCCTTCAGACACCTTGTCAGCGTAATACATGTTTTTGGCAGTGACACGAGAGAGTTGAGGGCCACGGAGGGCTATACAACCAGCTAAGCGTGACGTCAGCAGCGGGCTGCTTTTGATCTGGCCTGCACAGGCGGGCGCCCTCCCCAAACCGTGTGCGAAAGACTCCCTGCCACATTCTGTGTGATTTGCGCAAGCTCTGTGAGGTAGGCTTACTGGTGGCCAGTGGGTGTTTACACCGCTGTATGTGAAAGATGTTGTATCTGCTGACCATACATACAGGTGCTGTGCATCATGAGACCGGACGGCTCAACTGCAAGCCGTGCTCTTGACTTGTGAGAAAACTGAGGAGCATCCCCAGCTCACGTAATGGCCAACAGCAGAGGAGAAGAACACATATGTTGCGTTGTGACTCTGAGTGTGAAATGCCGTGATCACCAACAACTGGAGTTGCCCAGAGCATTGGTGGAGTGATGGGGCCTGCAGGCACCGAGTGTGTTCACATGATAACACATCATTCTAAACTCGTCAGGCAATCCCTTATCTAAAACGCAATGCCGTACCATGTGGAGAGGGTGCGTGCGCGCATACGTGCGTGTGTCATGTGTGAAAGGAAAGCGTGACGGCCACCACCTCACCCACGTCCAACCCTCCCCTTCTGATCCGCGGACAAGCAGTCATGATGGCGCCTCCGCGGGCCGGCGGCCTGTCCCCCAAACTTGTTGCATTCTGGCTGGTCCAGGTCGAAACAATGATGGGCAAACGAGCCACATCATTGGATAAAGGTGTCACAGCATAGGCCTATTGTACAAGCATCACGTGGTCACGAGGCAATATGCAGCTGTGCACTGCAATAAAAAGTCCATCCACAGCAGGGCGCAGCAACGCGTGTAGACACAGATGCATTAGTAAGCACCCACTTGCAAAGGTGGGCAAGCTGGGGACAGCGTCGGTCAGCCGGGTAACGATTGTGTGCCGTGACACGCACACTGCATGCGTTGTGTCAGCACGCCGCGTGGCAGCCATGTAAAAATACGCCTGTGTGCATATCCGCCCCAGTTGCTGCCTCTGCAAAGCTATCAACCGCTGTGCGCTTTCAGCCAAACCACTGCAGCGGGCGGGCCGGCCACGACACTTGCAACTGACGTGCACTTTTCACATGCCGCGCAGCTCACAACCGCTATCGATGCCAAAGGACGGCCGCGCCAGACATACAAAGAACCCAAACGCGGCATCAACTCGAGTCAAGCGTCGGCGCCCACCCGCGCCAGGCGTCGCCGCCTGCCGCGGCGGTCCACAAACGTGGTCCCGCCCTGGTTGAGCACGGGGCCAGTGGGGCCCCCGACCAGCGTCACACCGCCGCGGCTGACGCTGTTTGAGTTTCTCTGCACCGCAGTGCGGCCCCCGACATTTGTCAGCGGGGTGTTGCCGCCGATCACCGTCACCTCCCCGCCAGGGCGCCCGCTGGCCACCTGCACCACGGGCAGCTTGCCGCCGGCCACCGTGACCCGGGGGCCGCCGCGGCCGCCGGCGGCCAGCTGCAGCGAGGGCGCGGCGCCGCCCTTCGCGCTGAAGGACGGCGCGCCGCGCGCGCCGCCGAGCTGCAGCGTGCTCCCGAGGTTGCCGAGGCCGGCGGCGCTGAGGATGTTGCCCAGTGCGGGCATACCAGGGATTGCGGGCTGAGGAGCAGACAGCCGCAGGCGGCGGGGCGCGGCTGCGGCGGGGGCGGCGGGCAGCCGCGCGGCGGCGAGAGCGCCGGGGCCCAGCAGCAGCGGGGCAAGAAGGGCTGCGAGGAGCGAGAGGGGGCGTGGCGTGGCGGGTTTAGGGCGGCGGGTGTGCTTGTGCGCGTGGTCGCGTGCATGTGCTTGAATGCGCACGCGTGCGCACGAGCTGAGTGCACGTGTGTTGCGCGTAGATTGTGTGCAGGGGCACAATGACATGTGCTATGGCATGTTTGCAGTGGAACAACAGCTGCACGATCGTATGGTGGAGAAATGTTGCCAGGAATGGGGGTCGTCTTCCCATCTGTGAAGCGTTGCTGCCGGGCGCCCTCCGGCTCCCTCACGCATCTCTGTGCTGTCGCACTCACCCAGCAGGACTTGCCATCTGTGAGCCATGACTGCTGTAGAAACGGAGACGGAGATAATTAGAGATTAAGGTTAAAGGCACGTTATGCTTCTATTCCGGGCTCTTGCCGTCTCTGGTGAAGAGATTGATCTGCGTGCAACGATGCACACCGGTTGGGGGGTTCAATAAAGCATGAGATGCCCAAAAAGATGTGTGATGCAAAAGCAGTGCTCTATGCTTGGCGTCACCAGCACGCTGCACTCTTTGGGCGCCAGATGCTGGCCAGAGGCTGTGGCCGGTGACCAGGTGACCTGATCCGGCGCCCAGCTTTGCGGGCGCAAGGATCCCAATTGGGCTTGCAGTGCACCGTGAACCTTCTCCTATTGATACATGTGGGTGCTCGCTGGGCCGCTCGCAGATGTTCGTGCTTGGATTCGCCCATGATGACGTGATTAAGCAGCTGCAGCCAACCTGCTAAGGCACTGCGGGCACTGGCCTCAGCTGGACCGAGACGCCATCCAGATTTCTCGACTGCTTCAGTGCGCACGACATGCCACAAGCCCACAGCACCTTGTACCGCCATGTTTGGGGGACACCAACAACAGGCCCAGGACAACGTTCTGTCTGCAGAGCACCATCTCTATGCGTTGCAGCTGAAGCTTTTCGAGCTTACACCTGGCCAAAATAATCAGCACTCTGATCAGCTTGCTCAGCTGAAGCGTGCACGCCGCAACGCATGCAGCACAAACTTACAAAATGGGCTCGTACTCAAACCAAACGTCCTGCCAGGTACAGTGAGCTGCAGCCGACGCCGCCGGCACAACCGTCGGGTCACATGTTGAATGGCACGTTCTTAAATGCACTTGATGCAGCATTGCGTGTTCAGGAGTGTTCGTCTGTACGTTATTTGCAGTGCGGGCAAGCTAAGCAGAGAACATCAGGAAGCACAGAGCCACCACGAGCGCAGCCCCGTGCACCAGCGCGGCGCCGCTGCGGCCGCCGGCCGCAGACGCGACCGGCCGAGGGCGCAGCTCGGCGGGCGCCTTCACCGGCACCGTGGGCGCCACGGCCGCCGTCAGGCCGGGTGCGGTCGAGGCATTGGGGCCCGCCACCACTGTCTGGGTCGCGGCTGGGGTTTTCTTGGTCGCAGGCGCAGCGTCGACGAGGGTGGCGCTGGGGTTGGCAGCGGCCGCGGGCGTCGGTTCCGCCTGCTCAGCTGCGGCCGGTGTGGTGGAGATGGCTGCCGCGGCAGCAGGCGGCGTGGGGCCAGCGGGCGCCGCGGGGGTAGCCCCATCGGCGATGGGCGTGGCGGGAGGCTGGGCTGCTGTGGCCGGCTCGGATGCGGGGGCGGCCGCCTGCGCCGCGCCGCTGGGCGCAACGGCGGCTGCGGCCGGGGCGGCGGCGGGTGCCGCCGCAGCAGTGGTGGGCGCAACCGCAGGTGCGGCCGGGGCGGCGGCGGGTGCTGCCGCAGCAGGCGCGGGCGTGGCTGCGGCTGCGGCCGGGGTGGCGGGTGCCGCCGCGGCAGTGGTGGGCGTGGCTGGGGCTGCGGCAGGGGTCGTGGCGGGCGCGGCGGCCTGGGCGTTGGGCACCACGAAGGTTCCACTGGCCGGGTCGAAGGTGGCGGGCCACGCGACCGGGAAGCCAGCCGGAGGGGCAAACCCGGTGCCGGCCATCATATTGGCACCCTGCGCCATCTGGGCCGCGGCGGCGCCCATGTCCTGGCCGAACTGGGTCATCGCCTGGGACTGCTGCGCCATTGCCGAGTTGATGGCCGCCGCATGGTCTGCGACAGGCTTGTCAGAAATGACCGTGGGGTTGGCGCCGCCCACGACGGTGGTGCCACCAGTGGCGG